TTGCATGTGAATCTGCTTTGGATTATGCATAAACTGATTGACCATGCTTACATCAAATGCTATGTCTGGTCTAGTGTGGGAGAGGTAGATCAATTTCCCTATAAGTCTCTGGTAGGACCCTTTATCTACATCTGGATCTTCTCTAGCTTCTCCCAGTTTAAGATTAGGTTCTACTAGAGTCGGTGCTGGTTTACAAGCTAGTTTATCTTTTTCTTTTAGAAGATCTTTGATGTATTTCTGTTGTGAAATGAAGATTCCTTTGCTGGAGTGAGCTACTTCAATTCCGAGAAAGTATTTTAGTCTACCAAGTTCTTTGATGTCAAATTTCTTCGTAATACTTTTCCTTAAAACAACTTTCTCCTTTTCATTATCTCCCGTCAAAATAATATCATCAACATACATTAATAATATTGTGACTCCTCCTGAGTCTGAGTGTTTAAAGAATAATGTATGATCCCCTTGACTTTGTCGATACCCATTAAGGAGCATGAATTTATAAAATCTTCTGAACCAGGCTCTTGGAGATTGTTTGAGCCCATATAGAGCATTTTTTCAGTCTGCACACCCTATTGCCTTCAGATTTTTCTTTAAACCCTTGTGGTATTTTCATAAATATCTCTTCTTCTAAATCCCCATGCAGGAATGCATTTTCACATCCAATTCTTTCAGATGCCAGTTGTACTTGGCTGCTAGTGAGAGTAGTATTTTGACAATATTCATCTTGGCTATAGGCGCAAATGTTTCTTGGTAGTCAATGCTATATGTTTAAGTGAACCCTTTTACCACCAGTCTTGCCTTATATCTCTCTAGTATACCATCAGCTTTGTATTTTACTGAGAATACCCATTTGCAGCCGACCTTTTTTTTCCCTATCGTTAGATTGATGATCTCCCATGTTTTGTTCTTTTTTAGGGCCTGTATTTCATCCTTCATGGCATTTTTTCAATTCTTATCAGATTAGGCCTTAGAAATATCTTTAGGAATATGGATATCTTCTAATGAAACTAGGAAATTTTTGTGTGACGATGTGAAGTTGTTGAAGGATATAGAGTTGTTTATAGGGTATAAGGGAGGTGGTGAGCTTACCTTATTTCCAGAAGATGATTCAGATTCTTGGATCTGCTTTGGAGCATAGCTTGAGCTTGTACGTCTGGAGTAAACCTTTCCAAATTTAATGATAGTTTTGTCATTTGTTTCCCTATCTTGGGTTTCAGGTGGATTGGTTTGTGGTGGTGGAGGAAGGTCAAGAGGTGCTAGTTCATTTTTCTCATCTTCCTTAAGTTCAGTCTCCCCCTGAAGATGAGATTTTGAAAAATAGGAATTTTGCTCATCAAAGGTAACATCGATAAAGACAAGAATTTTTCTTGTGGGTGGATGATAACACTTATAACCTTTTTGGGTAGCTGAATAGCCAACAAAGATGCATTTGAGTGCTCTTGGATCTAATTTTTCTCTCCCATGAACATAAGCAGTGCATCCAAAGATTTTGGGCATAAGATTATGATGGGTTCGAAACTCAGGGTAAAAAGAGGACAAAGTCTCCATTGGAGTTTTGAGTCCTAAGGCTGTTGAAGGTGGTCGGTTTATGAGATAAATTGCCATTAAAAGAGCTTCCCCCCAATAGGATTTGGGTGTATTGTAGTGAAATAGGAAAGCTCGGGTGGAGTCTAGAAGGTGACAATTTTTCCTCTCTGCAACCCCATTTTGTTGTGGGGTGTGAACATAGGAGGACTCATGGATGATCCCTTCACTCTGGAAGTAGGAGGAAAGGGTTTGGTTGAAATAATCTTTTGGCATTATCGGAGCGGAATCTCCTTATTTTTATCCCGAATTGATTTTTGATCATGGAATGAAAGATGAGAACAATGGTGCTAACATTAGATTTATTTTTAAGGAGATAGATCCAAGAGACTCTAGTGCAATCATCATTGAATGACACAAACCAGCGTGCCCCAGAGATGTTGGGGATTTTAGAGGGTCCCCATATATCACTATGAATAAGGTATAAAGGAGTAGCACATCTCTCACTTTTGTTTGGGAATGAAGTTCTTTTATGTTTAGCCAACTCACAAGTTTCACAAAGAAAAATTTTATTATCTAATTTCTGGAAAAGTTGTGGATACATATGTCTTAGGACATCAAAAGATGGGTGTCCTAGTCTATAATGATGAAGCCAAATAGTGGAATTCCTATCGATTAGGGATAACAAAGAGCAACTCTTTTTAGATTGGTTTGGTTCTTCCAGGTAGTACAATCCTGCTCTCTCCTTAGCAAGTCCAATCTTCTTCCCCAATCTCTGGTCCTGAAATAAGTAATAAGTAGGGTTAAACAATGCTTGACAATTATGGTCATTGCTAAGTTTTTGTATTGATATCAGATTTGTGGATAATTGTGGTACGTGGAGCACATTTTTAAAGGTGAGGGATGAAGATAATATGATGTCTCCTTGGCCAGCTACCGTGGTAAGAGAACCATCAACAGTGATGATTTTCTTATTATTTGGGCAAGGAGTGTAGTTTATGAGGTGGGTGGGTGAGTGGGTCATATGATGTGTGGCTCCTGAATCAATGATTCATAATCCTTTAAATGATTTCTGGAAGCTTTTAAACTAATAGAAATTAGAGTCTTACCTGAGAGTGCAAGTGAAGAAGAAGCATTTGGTTTTTCAAGAGATACCATGAGTTGTTCAATTTATCAATATCTTCTTTATTGAATTCTCCAAGGTTGGACTGTGCTTCTAGCTTACTTGTAGTGTCGTTGGCATGTGATGTGCTCCTTGTTTCATCCATTTGGTTCCACTCTTTGTTGGGGGGTTTTCCATATATTTTCCAGCATGTTTCTTTTGTGTGTCTTGACTTTTTGCAATAGCTATACCAAAGTGAGTCCTTATCTTTGAATTTTGAAGAATCTTTACCTTTCTCCTTCCATGACGATTTTTTGTTCATCACCATTGCTGAGCTTTCAACGACCTTTGGTTCTAACATCACTCATTGTCGGCTTTCTTCTGCGCGGATGAGAGAAATGGTTTCATTGAGTGATGACGTTTCCTCTTTGCCAAGAATCTGAACTCTAACTTGGTCAAATTCTGCATTTAGTCATGCAAGAAAATCATAAACTCTATCTTTTTCAATAAAATTCTTTAGGATTGCAGCATCTTCCGGACATCTGGTTTCTATGCACCTATAGTGATCAAGTTCCTGTCACAGATTTTGTAGAATGGTGGCATACTCTGTCACGGTCTTACTCCCCTGCTTCGTGCTTCCAACTTTGACTTTAATTTCAAAGATTTGAGCTGCATCGCGAGCTTTGGAGAAGGTTTGTCTGGCGGCATCCCATATGTCATTTGCAATCGAAAGGAACATAAATGTATCACTAATTTTTGGAGTCATGGAATTCTACAACCATGCATAATCATGGAGTCCGCTTCATCCCATGCCCCAAATTTAGGATCTCCTTCTTTTGGTTCTCCTCCAAGGAGGTGATGTATTTTCCCTTCCCTTTCAAGTAGGTCTTTACAAATGAAGACCACTTTAGGTAGTTCTTTCCATTTAGACAATAGGAAGGTTGCATGCTTTGAAGGTCACATCGTCTTTGGTGCACCATAGAATCCTCAAGTTGGTTAGTGTTTGAAGAAGAGTTAATTTCTGACATTTTTGAATCTAATGATAGTAATGAAGACTATCTATTTGATTTTTGGACAACAATGAAGGCTCCCAAGATTTTTCTAATTGACAATAAAGGTCAAAAAAATTATTTTTTTTGTCCGACAATGAAGTTCGAATTTTTTTTTCCTTCCTTTTTTTTATAAGGGAAAAAGTACCTTCCCGGTTTAATAAACAAATCGGGCCGCCGACTCTTAAAAGGAGTCGGATCGGGTTGCTTAGGACACGCATGCAGGGAGCCGCTCGGCTTCCTTGGTTCACAGGAGGCTTCTCGGTCGGATCGGAACGCTCCTTCGATGATCTTCCCTTCATGTCGGATCGAGATGCTCGACTAGGCTCCTCTCCTTCGACGATCTTCCCTTCCTGTCGGATCGGGATGCTCGACTACGCTCCTATCCTTCGACAATCTTCCCTTCCTGTCAGATCGGGTTTGCTGCTTCACAGGAGGCTTCTTCGGCTCCTTCGTGGTTGTTCGTCTACGCTCCTTTGACGACTTTTCCGTCTACGACAATGAAGGCCTTTCTTCACGAAGTTTTTTCCTCTTCAACCCCTCCGACGCTCTGATACCATGTTAATTTGAGAGGTATGAGAGGGAAAAAACTTGTTTTTATTCATTACAATCTTCCCTATTTATAGATCTGTACAAGATATCTAAAGGTGGAAATAAAGATTACAGATTTAATACATAAAAATCTTTCCTAAATTCGTTCCTTCATTATGGCGTGATCCATGAGAGCATCCCACGGATTGATCTTTGTGTCCGTTGGAACCTTTGCACAGGGAACGGCTGGATTTCAACTCATAGCGTCTGTGTTAATGCAGTGGGTGCCGGGCGGCATGGAAATTGCTTTAGGTTTTTATTATTTTGTAATATTTAGCTGACATAGTAGATAGTATTACACTTCATATATATATATATATATATATATATATATATATATATATATATATATATATATATACATAATTGTATGGGCAAAATGCTGGCATAAGCAAGATAATAGGATCCTTGAAGATATATATGTAATTTATATGAGCAAAATGACTAGTGTAACTGTGCATTGAGAGATTGACTATTTTTCTGTCAATTAAAAATATGGAAAATAGTTCAGTTTTGTGGGTAAGTCCTATTGATCCAATTCGAGAAATATTAAGTAAAAAGCAAGTTTTCTGTTACCTGATTGTTGCAAATGAGATGAATATGTCAGTTGTTACTTTCAACTATTTGTTTGTTACCACCCCTGAGCACATGGAAGTAATTGGTTTCTTTTTGAGTTATTTTGCTCCTGAGCAGTTTTTTTTTTTTTTTCAGTCATTCTGATGCCTATAATTTTTCAGCTGAGACTTAGGTTATCTGGTGGACATTTTCGAATGCTCAATGAAAAGCTGTATACATGCAGGTAGCTCACTTTCTTCGCTTTGATTATTGTTCAGCTTCTCAATCTATGCTGCATCTGCTTTGCTTCATTTTATTAGGAAGGGAAAAATAAAAGGACTCAATTGATTACAGATATCCAAGTTGGACTTGAAAACAAATTCTGATCCCAGAAAGTTTTATTTTAATTGATGAATTGTGGGAAAAATTAATGTCTAACCAGAATATGAGTTGAATGCCATAAATTTATGAGAAAAATAAGCTTGCCATAATATCTTAACTATTTTTTGAATCTATGGTGGTCCCTGTTCTTTGATGAGTAATCCTATTTCATTTATTTGTGCCTTAGTGAGTTTTCTGTAGATTCTTTCAGTCACCAAAAACTTTGTGCTTTGCTGCATATATTTGTAGAGACAAGTACCTCATTTTTAATCTAATCAGTTAGCTTTAATTTAAATTACCGTCACTTTTATTTGTGGGATTACTTTGACTTCTATTTAAAGAGTTTAGGGACTAAATCAGCCATTTTATATAGTAAGGCTAAAATGGCCCCAGCAAATAGTAGGAGGATCATTTTAAACTTTTCTATATCTTTAAAAATAGAATTTCCTCGTAGCTGATGAATTTTATTCATTGAGCACCACAATCTGCTGCATTGCTACTTTGTTTATCATTACATATTACTTTTTTTGCATGTCCGTAACACAAGGAGAGGTTGTTTGCATACCGTTGTACAGTAAAGAGCAATTTATTTCCTTATCATTTATGTTGTGTATATCTTCTTCTCGTTAGTGGCAATGAGGCATTCCACTTCTTCAAGAAGGAGCCAGAACTTTTTGATGTGGTAAGCGGTTTTCACCAGCCTTTGCTTTGTCTTCTCCCTTCTCAATCAACATTTTAAATTTGTTTCTAATTTTTTTATGTCTATCCATTTTTTTTGTTATCATGCTCAGTTTTCATGATTAAATGACACGAAACAATATTCCTACTTCTGTCTTATTGGCAAGTTGCTTATAGTTTTATATTGGCCTGCTTTTTTTCGGTTTAAAACTTTCTAAATCAAGATTCTAATATGTTTCTGTAGATATTGGTGTCAAGTGTACTGCATCTCAAAAAATAATATGTTCTTTTTGCTATTTATATTTAAGATGTCAAATTCAATCTGAATAAGTTCTCATTTGGTCGCGTCAAATTATAAATCTTGTTTTGAAAAAGAAAATGTTAAATCCATCATTTGGTTGTGGTGTAATTAAACACTAGAATTGTTTCAAATTCCTCAAACCTCCTAAAAATTCTAAAAAATGAGCTTTTCAATTTCACACTAAAAACGAGTGAACAAAATCCTCAGTTTTTAGAACATATTCTTTTCATCTACAATTATCCAAATGCGCCCTACCAGGAGTTAACTGTAGTCATTGTGAATAAAGACAACCATTTCGTGATGTCATATATGAACCCACTTACAGTTATATAAGTGGTTCGAAGGGAGCTAATATGATTTCTCCTCCATTCCTTGGTCAACTTAATTGACTTGACTTTTCCGCTATATTGTTACTCGCGACTATTTCTTGTAACTTTTGGTGCATGAGTAGTGTTGAGAATTCTATATGATGAATAACATTATCTTTTGAAAGTTTGGGATTGTTGGAAGACCGTTGTTCTTGTTTAAGAAGAGAATTGAAGAGAAATAAAGGAGAAGAATTGAGGTATACTTTGTTGTGTTCATTCTACCAAAATATGTCTTAATTTATAGGATTTTACAATGAGTACAAACAGGAAGATGCTAGCAAGGAAAAATAATATTATGGCAGCAATTATGCATAAAATACACTCAAATGCTTCCTACTAAATCAATCCCAAAACCACTAGCCATAAAAAATCAATCCACGGCCTATGAGAATGCCATGACAGCAATTCAAGTGGAGAAAAACAGCCGCAACACCATGGGTCCAAGTCCAGAAGTATTTCAACATTTTAGCTTCACGTCCCCTTGAACAGTTGGAATGCTGCCATTGTACAAAATCCACCCAGGCTATTTTTATTGTAGATCCCTTGCCAAATTTGGATTCCTCGTGCAGGCAGGGGTGGAGTCAAAATTTTTCATGTGGGGGCACAAATTTTTAAGTTTAAGAAAAAAATTCTCAACCTCTTTTATTTGAGCTTGGGACCGATATAGACGATTAATTTTTTTTTTAAAATAGTTAGACTCATTATAAAAAAATAAAATATATAATAAGTAAAAAAATTTGCAGTTATGAACATTAAATCTTGATATTCATATTACATATTATCTATTAATTCTCTTGTCGAGCTTTTATTTTTTTTAATCATTTTATTATCAATAATATTAAATATAGGGCAAAATTTTTTTTTGTGAGGGATGGGCAAAATTGCTTAAGATTAATAAAATTAGGGTAATTTTTTTTTTTAACATGGGGCAAAATGCCCAAAATATTCTAAAATAGCATGGCATGTTTTCTGGCCTCCCATTTCTTTTAATTCATCTCCCCCTAAGAAAGCATTCAGGAATCCAATATGTTACTTAATTTATAAAAATCTTCGAATGTACCAAAATTTTGACATCAAACAACAGACATTCAGATAAAATCAATTGATTGTTTTTTAGAAATGATTGAGCAATTTGTTTTATACTATTTTAACAATAACATGCATGAACAAACTATTGGAGAAATGGAAATCATCCTTAGGAAATTACATTGGATACATTTGATTAAATTTCAAGTATCGAATACAGTGATTCCATTAAAAATTAACCTCATATTCAAACTTTATAACACATTTACTGAACCGGCACGGTATGCTAATAGGCACTTAACTGCATAAAGTACTTGCATATTAGAGAAATAAGATGAAACTTTGTAGTTCATAACAAACCATTTTTCTTTATTTCAAATCTGCAGCATCTGCTGTAGCTTGTAGAGTCTCGAAGAGAGAGAGAGAGAGAGAGAGAGAGAGAGAGAGAGAGAGAGAGAGAGAGAGAGAGACCTGTCGTGGCCAACCACCGGCCTGAGAAGGTGAAGTGTGGTTGTGTGGGCTTTCGAAGAAGAAAGAAGATGGGCATTTTGCCTTCAGTCCGTGAGCTCGTCAATGTAAAGCCCTTTCGCCTTTGGTCCGTATATATGCGTGCGTGAAAAAGTTGGGCGGGATTGAGGATGACGAAAAGAAAATTTTAACATTAATAATTTACATTAGGTGGTAATCAAAGAGTCATTAATTGCTTTAATTATGTATTAACTACAGCCAGTGGGGGCCCATGCCCCCAGGGCCCCCAGCCTAAATCCGCCTCTGTGTGCAGCAGTCCCTAATTACCGCTAGCATTAGAAGGAAAAAATATATTATTATAGCAGAGAATTATTCAACACTTTCCCTCAAGTTGATTTGTAAACATCCAACAAACAGGGCTTGTTTATTAATTACTCATTTAGGGGTTGACGGTCTTTGGTCAGGAAGGTATATATGGAACGAATAGATCTCTGTATTGGATTTTCTAATTATTGAAGTTTAGATCAATCTCCACATGTTTAGTCCTATCATGACAGACAAAGTTGTTTGTTATATAGATTGCAACTTTATTGTTATAAATCATAATAGAGTATCATGGGAGTTCTAATATTTACCTGAAGTTCTTCTAAGAATAATTTGAGCCAAAGTATTTCATTGGTCCCACTGGCTAATAATCTGTTTTCTAATTATGCACTACTTCTTGCCACCACATATTATTATTATTATTTTCTCTAAAATAAAGATTATCCTATAAATATGTACAATATCTAGAAATGAATCTTCTGAAAACTATAGATTTTGCCCAATCAACATCACATGCTTTTGTAATTCTTGATTTTTCTTTCTTAAAGAAAAGTCCCTTTCTTAGGCTTCCTTTTTGGCATTTCAGAATTCTAGTAATAATATTCACATGTCCGTCATAAGAAGCATGCATGGATTGACTTGTCAAACTAAAAACAAAGGCTACGTCAGGTCTACTAGTATGAGACAAATAGATGAGTTCTTCACAAAGCTTTGATATCTTCCTTTTATCGACGGGTGGTGGACAAATGCTAAAATCACTCAATTTTTATTAGGATCTATATGAATGTTGATCAACTTGCTTTCAATTGAACCAATTTCTTTTTAGAGATCAAGGATATGCTTTCTTTGAGAAATAGCAAGACCAAATTCTTCCTAGAGATTTCCATTTCAAGGAAGTATCTAAGATGCCCAAGTCTTTTGTTATAGGTGTGTATCTTTTGATCAATCCCATTCTTTCTAGCACTTTTTAAGTTTGGAGAGTAAAATATGAAAGATATTTCATATAGAATATTTCACTTGAGAAGATAGGGAGAGAAATCCAAAAAATTCATACAATATATATATATATATATATATACCTGGATTTTGATTCTCTTAAGAATACTCTAAAAAAAGGAATTAAGCTTGTGTTCCAAACTACTCAGCTAGGTTTATCAAGGAATGATATTTTCATTTCATTATTGGAAGCCTTATGTTTCAAGGTTAAATTGGGACACAGTTTATAGGGTGAATGATCCTATCCCAATGGGTAGCTGCGGCCTTGCAACAAGCGAGTGTCTATGAAATGACCTCAAAGTAAGGCATCAAAGGGATGAATGGGTTCAAATGGGTTGATGGGTTTGTAGAAGGAATAAAGAAAAGGTAGACATAAGTCACATAACTTCATCGGTACTTCATGGATCCCTCTTCTTACCTCATCAAGCTTGAGATTCCTTTGGCCTTGAAGCTAGTCAACTTCCCAGCCTTGAGACGCTCTGTTAGTAACCATGAATTGTATCCTTTAGAGGAGTTTTGTAATCTCAAACCACCACCACCAACAAGCCTTTATCCTACTATGTGGGGTCATCTACATGAATTCTTTTTTTCTATTGTGTACTTATTAAGAGCCAATTTCTCATTTAAATATAGTGGAAAAATGTCATTTTTAATACTTTTTAACCAAGTATTTTTAGGTCTACCTATAGCTTTCTTAATATAGGTCGGAACTAATACATCTACTCTCCCAACAAGGTTAACAAGGTCATCGGAAGATCGACATTTTATGTGACTTAATCATCTAAGGAGACTCTTTCTAATCTTATATGTTATTGGAGCTACTCCAACCTTTTTACGAATATACTCGTTTAGCATTTTATCTCTAAGTGTAAAGCCACTCATCCACCTAAGCATATTCATTTATGCAACACTTAACTTAGTTTTATGCTTCTCTTTTAATGTTGATGCAATAAAAACACAAGTATTGCAAACTAAAAGTCTTCCTTTCCTTAAAACAAAGACTAACATAGATAGCATATAACAATTACTATTATAAAATGGACAACACCTTACAACTTCAAATAAAAAGGACACAACACCTTATCATTTAAAATAAAGCACAACTCAATGACACCTTACAACTTATGAAAGTTTTGATAACAAAGATATAGATGGAATGATAACCATGGAGAGAAGAAGTAGGTAGAAGTCCAAGACGAAGTAGAAGTAGGGTAGAGGAAGATAGCTTGCAAGCTAGATAACCCGCAGGTTATACATTCCAAATATTCATCACCAATCTCTTCGCTTTTTTCATAAGGAAATCAGTCCTAATTTATAAAAGAAATAAGAAGGAAATATCATTTAACAGATCTCACAAATGTGCCCCAAATCATCCACTAAAAATCACCAAAACTGCCCACATTTAAAGCCTCTTGCATAGGAATCAACAATAAGGGTGTCAATATTTGACACGACCCGAAAACCCGACTTGAACCCGACCGAAAAATTTTGGTTTAGCGTCAATCCGAACCCGAAACGGGTCAAGTTAGGGTTCAATAATTCGACCCGTTTAAAAAATCGAGTAGGGTTTGAGTTGATCTTTTGACCCGAAATTGACATGTTTTTGACCTGGCAACCCGAGATTGACCCTTTTTTACCCGAAAAGCGGAGATTGACCCGTTTTTGGACCCAAAAACTAACAGTTTCATTCAGGTCATGCCGAGTTGACCCGGACCCGAATCGGGTCGGGTTTGGGTTCGGAAAACCAACCCGCTTGCAAAAACATGTTAGATTTAGGTTGACCCAAATAGTGTCGTGTCAGTTTCGGGTTCGACCCGAACCCGACCCGTGACCTTAAATTGACAGCCTTAATCAACAATGAGGAAAACGAGCAGCCAACAACATTCAAGACAGCATGGAGAAAGACCAAACAACGCTTAGGGAAGTCCAAACAGCATAAACAACACCTAGGGAAGATTAAACAACATTTTGGGAATTCCAAACAACATAAACAACACCTAGGGAAGACCAAACAACATTTTGGGAATTCCAAACAGCACTTTGCCCACATCAATTTTCCCATGGTGGAGAAATCTCATCTCCTGATGAGATCGTCTATATAGAAGGCTGACTTTAACCATCTGTAGACTCCTTTGTTTCTTGAGGTGAAACTTCGGCACGTTGAGTGTTTGGCTTTCCATTTTTTTTCGTTTTTTTTATTTTTTAAAAAAGAAAAGACATGACCTACAACCTAAAGCTCTGAAACCAAATTGATGCAACAAAAAAAAATACAACACAAACATAAACAAATTTTAGGATTGCAAAAACTAAACGTCTTCCTTAAGCATAAACATGACAAATATAACCCATAAAACTTATATATAATTTTGAGAAGAAGGATATAAGTGAGGTGGGAACCATGGATAGAGACGAAGGGATTACAAGACCAAGACGAATTTTAAGAGGAGAAGGGAAAGAAGACACTAGCTCGCAAGCTATGTAACCCGCAGGTCATACATTCCAAATATTCATCACCACTCTCTCCGTTTTTTTCATAAGGAAATCAGTCCTAATTTATAGAAGAATAAGAAGGAAATATCATTTAATAGATCACATAAATGTGCCCCAAATCAGCCCCTAAAAATCACCAAAACAGCCCACATTTAAAGCTTCCTGCATAGGAATCAACAGTGAGGAAAACGAGCAGCCAACAACATTCAAAACAGCATGGGGAAAGACCTAACAGCACATAGGGAAGTCCAAACAGCATAAACAGCACCCAGGAAAGATTAAACAGCATAAATAACACCTAGGGAAGACCAAACAGCATTTTGGAAATTCCAAACAGCACTTTGCCCACATCAAATGGCCAATATTTTGCGCCATAAAATATTGCAGGTCTCACTACCATCTCAAACAAAGGAAAGCAAATACAAATTTCTAATGGATTTTAGGAGCATAGGGCTTACTTCTTTCAAACCGGATGCCTGCAAGTAGAAAAGGATAGGGACAATCTAACCATAAGAGCTAAAATATCCAAATTGGCCTTATAATTCTGTCTGGATCAGGAATTCTACTAATATACCCAATATCATTTTAGACCGTCACCCAAGCAAATAAAATCATGAAATCAAGTTAGGTTTAGATAGAGTAATATGCTCCACGGAATATTAATGATGCAAAATTAGACCTAAAAAGACTTGGTTATAAAATATTTGTAATGACCTTTTATGTATTGTGTTTAGATGAGAATTTGACTCTTGACAGGACAATTGAGAAAAAGGATTCATGTAGCCCACCTCACATAGTGGGATAAATGCTTGTTGTTGTTGTAATATGAAGGCTTTATTAATGTGCTTTAGGATTTAGGCCATGTAATGCTTTTTTAAATTAGCCCTGGTTCAATGCTGATAGTCGAGCCGTTGAATTCATTTTATTATTATTATTAATGTAGGCCATAAGGGCCTTGCAATAGCAAACATTTTTTTATGAAAATTGATTATTTTCTTAGGATTGGTTTTAAAGTTGATTATCATTTTAATTAGCTTTATAGAAAATATTCTTTTCCCTATGAGCATTGCGTTTAGTAATAGCTTTCAGAAAAAAAAAACTCATGAATAAAAAAACAACAAAAATCATTTAAGTGCAGTAAGTGAACACAATATTAAAAATAAAGAAAGGCTATTTTCAGCTGGTCTGCCATGCATCCTAAAAAAACGAAAGCAGTTGGGAGCTGCATATATACAATCCGATTAATACAGAGCAAACTCCTAATAGCCTTGTGGTGAAGCTTTAGTTTATCAAATAAAAGGTCAACGAACCAACCTTAACATTGCAACAAGTGTAGTCTTTAGAGAAGACTTCTAAGAATTCTTGGAAACTAGGTTGGATTCTCCGAAAAGTCATAAGAAGAACATTTAAGCAAATTGCTAATAGCTATCACCCGGTTATTAGGAGCTGGACCTGCCGACATAAAAAAAGTTTAAACAAGTTCAAAACTATAGTTATTTCCAATAGTTCTACCAATCTTACCCAATTAGTTCTTAGTACCATGCAGGATATCAAGAGCAGATGTCAAGATGGCCTGAACAACCGATTAACATCATCATTAAGTGGCTGAAAAGTCGTAGTTCTTCGTTGGTTGTTGCTGATTTTGGCTGTGGTAAGAGCAGATGCAAGTCTTATTACACTTTCTATCATTGTATTTTCAGTCTGTAAGGGAAAAATCTCAGATTTTCTACAGCGAGGAAATCATATTAAATTTCTTTCTTGATTTTCCTTATTTGTAGGGAATGCAAGCCTTGCGAGAACCATAGAAAATAAAGTTTTCTCTATTGATCTTGTCTCAACTGACCCATCAGTGATTGCTTGTGACATGTCTAATGTAAGTTTCTTTAATAATTGCTTTGTCAAGGTTATTTTTGCGCCTTATAGAATATGGTTTGTTAGAGAAAAACCTCTTCTATATGTTATTGGTTAAACATATAGGTTCTATATATAATAGAAGTTTACTATAAAAGAAAAATAAAACAGAGAATATCCTTAATTAAGTGGATATAAAAATAAATCTTCCTAATCAAATATCCTCTATTATAACACTTTCCAATCTATAAATTTCCCATGATAACAATTTTTGTCTATATGGATGTATTTATGTTAATGAATTCTAGCTTGTTATAAGTATTAAAAAAAACTTTGAAACTCCTAGAATTTTGCTAAAGAAATCCACTAATTGTTTTTTTGTCGAAGACATGTGGAGTGATTATTATTATTTTTAAACATAACATCATTCTTAATCAAGCAAAAATCTACTTATTGTGTTTTCTTCTTTTATGAAAGATAAGATTATTTGTAATGTAGATGGTTGCCTAATTATCATAGTTAAGGCTCATAAGCTATGTAATAGGAAAGCAAACTTCTTCTATGAAAGGTTTAATTCACTTCATTTCACATAGCAAATGAATAATGGCTCTATACTTAGCTTTAGCAATAGACTTAGTTACAACCACCTATTTCTTCACTTTTCTGGGACATGTGATTTTCACCCACAAAGATAGTAACTTCCTATGATAGTTTTTTTATGCTCAATTGCATGTCAACATAAAAAGGTTTCAATCTTTAAGTGCATATATTTTTGTCAGACTGGGTATTTTTGTACATATTTTTTGATATATCTTAGAATTCTTAGAACAACTTCCAAATATTTCTTTTTTGAATTTTATACTTGCTAGCTAACCGCACCCATAAAGAATAATGCATAAGGCCGAGTTTCAATCACATAGATAAGTTTGTCAACTACATGTTGATAGCTAGAAGTATCTTCATAGTCTTCATCATCTTCAGATGATTGCACAGTTTCTATGGGAGAGTCAACAGACTTGCATCTAGGAAAGTTGATTTCTTCAAGAGGATTTTTGGTATATATTCTTTGAGAGGGCATACCTTTATGTCTTTCTGCAAACTTGATGTCAAAAATAATATTTTGGACATCCCATATCTTAAGTGAAAAACAGTTTTTGCAGATATTGTTTTATTTCAATAGTGGTCAAAATATCACTCCCATTAATATGAATGAAGATAAGAGTGATTAGCATTACTACTCAACAATTCAACATCAACAAGCGACCCCCCCCCCCCATATCTTGCTTGGAGGTTGCTCTATATAAACAAAATCAGTGAGATCCCCATGGAAAAAGCATTGCTGCATACTTCTAATTAAGGTCAAGAAGTGCCTCTTGGTTGTCATGGGAGTAGAGATAACAGGCAAATCAATGAAAGGAAGGGGTGAGATTATTAAAAAACATAAAAGGGTGTAATGGATAGTTGGTGTGGAAGCTTGGTGCTTACCTTTATAGAGGACAATAGGAATATGTAGATCTAAGGACCCAATAACAATTGGATAACCAGTCGTAGTAGTCAAGATGGAGGAAAGTGTTGAATGAGGTTGACTAGTATAAATAAATAATGGAGAGGCAAACATCAGGGTTAAATGGGGTAGAGATATAGAAAGGGAGTATTGGTAGGTGATGATGTATGGGCAAAAATAAGATTTTCATATAAGGTAACATGATAAAGATAGTATTTCAGCAGAAAGTTCATAACATTGATATCCTTTCTAAGTAGGCTAATAATTCAAACAAATTCACATTTGGCGAAGGGAAGGAACTACACAATTAGACATATGCTAATGGTTAGGTGAAAAATGAGTATTATTGGGATAAATAATGAAGAATGGAGTGTTATGATGCACCGACACAGCTACGGCGACACAGACACAAACACAGACATAGGACACGACTATCATTGAAAATATAGGACACGGCTATCATTAAAAATATAGGGCATGGGCATGGTGTGGACACGACATTATAAATTTTTAAATAGTGTGTAGAAATTAATATAACATCATATTAGAAATGACAATCAATAATAAATCAATATCATAATTACTTGTGTATCCTAACATCTACAAGTTTGGCTTGAGTATAAACTTATAGTGTGCATACGGAGGACAATAAAGTTATCATTACATTGTCCATCAATCAAATAAACTTGATATGGATTTTCATGTTGAAAGACCATAAAATGCAACGTATGCTCTTAATATTGAACTTGATGTAGTAAGATTTGTGGAGATTTTATACTAGCTATTCAGAAATCCTATAGACTACTGCATGGAAGATGATAACAAAACTAACTAAAATCAAGATAAAGTTTTTAATGTTTTGCTATCATAGGTATGCAAAACACATATTCTATTATGTATAAAAATCAGTAGTTAAGTTTGGGATAAATAATCAACAATAAATAATATACCATTAATTTAAAAAATAATAATAATGACGAACTTCAATAAATTGAATGGTTTTGTAAACCTTAATCCTAGAACTCAAAAGAGCTTCTAGCATTTGGGATCATATGTCATTCCTGGCTTAGATCATTAGTTGCGGAGGGTTGAGGATGTCAGACACCATTCACTTAGAATAAATTAAGAACAATCGCCAGAACAATAAAAAAAATTATGAAATTGAAAAGATAAAATAAATAAAGAACACCCTACATCTTCTAAGCCAACTTACAAAGCATACGCACAAACTTACTTTCGACAATGCAGACACAATCGAACGAGTCGGATACCCTAGTCGCCTATGGAAATGACGAATATGACTACCGATAAAGCTTCAATCAAGCGTACGACTCTCGTGTGTCCTGATCTTCCTGCATATATGAAGTAGACGATGAACACCAACCTTTCGCACTTTCAACTTTGCACGCTTTTAGAAAATAAACAAGACTACAAAGACGTAAGCTCCTTGGGCCTTGCCTGCTCGCATATTGGGCTTCCTCGCCTCGCCCGCTCATGTAAACGAAGAAGACAATGCAAAACTCTCGCCTGCTCGCGAAAATGACTTTGAATACGAAATGATACATGATAACCTAGATTTAAATTAAAAAGACATTAAATTTTTTTATTAAATATCATTGAAAATATTAGGACACACGTCTCTATTTAAATTTAAATATTATTTTAATCGGATACGTTTCAGACATGTCCAACATGTGTCCTAGCAGTGTTGGGCGCGTGTCCGTGTCCGACACTACATATCTTCATAAATAGGTGTGTCGATGCATCATAGTTGGAATGTCTTCTTTTAAGAGAAGTAGCAGAATCTTAAAGGAATCTTAATTTATTAAAGTGTGATGAAAATTGCATTCCCAAAAATGACCAAACATGCATGTTAAGTATTAAGGATTGAGCAACATTAAGAAGATGATGATGTTGCATACACTTATACTCATTTTTGTCGAAATGTATACAGACAAGATGATTAATGTATAGTAACAATTTGGACACAAATAATGAAAAGATATTGCATAAATTCACGGGAATCATCTTTTTAACATGGATAGAAAATTATACTTTTATTTATTTATTGAATATTTTTTATGTTGAGAAGATCTCAAAGTGCACTTTAACATATAAACTGAAGTCATCTTGGTATAGTCATCAAGAATGGAGACAAAAGAATGAAAACCTTGAAGGGACATTGTCCACAATGTCAGTGTGGTAAAAAAAAAAAGTGCTTTACTATGTGAATATGACAAGTGAGAGGGAACTCATTGATGTTTTGTCATATTTATAGGCATCATATTCAAATTTGAAAATAGAGCGTGATACTGGTGAAGCTCTCATGATAATTAGGCGGTGAATGATATAAATGGCATTGCCATTTATATGGGAAAAGTAAGGACAAGGCAAAAGTTTAAACAACATTGAGATAATAAATACTACCAACTTTTACTAGGGCATAGAAGTAACATTGAGATAATAAATACTACCAACATAGGATGTGGTGTTGTAGTAAGGAGTGGACTAGGCACGGAAGTATGCTCATGGATGGATGATTGAATTTCTTCTAGCAATATTGAGGAGGATTGGCGTGACTGCAATTAGGGAAATGAAAAGGTTCGATGACCGCAACAATTACCACCCATATGACCACCACATTCACGATTCCCTTTACCACTCGAACTAGTTTTCCAAGTTGATTGCTTAGGAGTAGTAGGTTGGGGTTGAGGAGTATTTTTTTTGTGATGCAACAAACCTAAGATAGAGTAGTTGCAATATTTGGGACGCCAGAGTCAACCATCAATTGTGACTATGCACCATGTAAAGAAGGATGTAGGCCAAAGATAAACTTGACTAGGAGAAATTCTTCATTTTATTTGTCTCAAATAGTGCAGTTAATAGTGAAGGGGCGGTGCTGAAGTTATTCATCTCATTTTTCTCTCCTTGTGCTATAATTCACTTGGTTCTACATGCATTTGTTGAAGAGTAAATCTTAGATTAGTGAAGATGCAAGTGATATTATTATCCCGAAAATATGTTGAATAATGAAAATGCCACATTTTTTTTGGCAGAATCTTGAAACATGATGGTTGAAGTAACATAAGGCTAAAGACTAGTACAAGGTAAGGGTAATATTGTTAGATTATTAACACTTGAAAATATTGAAATTTTAGTGTGACCAGGAGGATGGGACATATATTTGAATGTTCGCTCGGGTTAGCGGGGGATATGCTAAAGAAATATTATAGAATAGGGCCCTTTGGTGAGAGTTTATTAGCAAGAGGCCTCAAGAAACTAGTATTTTATGAATTATATTCAGCCAGTAAGCAAACAAAAAATCTATGGGTATTTGAACCCGAATATCCGGGAAAAAGTAGAATATTTGATGGCACACTTTTGGGAAGAATATAGAATAGTAGAGGATCCAGCATGCGGGACACGACAATCATTAGATATTCACAAATTAGAGATTTTGTAATATACTCTTTCTCAAAACTTCTCATATCAGACCAACCCACTGAAATGCAAATAGGGATAAAAAATGTGATCAATATTACGAAGAATAATGAAGAAATCAAGATGTTAAATCTTGTCATGAGAAATAGCAAGGAAGCTTAAGGCATTTGACTATAAAGGATAATTGGTACTAATAAATTTTATGTTGGTACTGATGGTGGAGGAGAGTTTCACGAGTTCACCTCATTAAGATATGATTGAGAAGCCATGACACCATTTGAGAGAGGGGAAATCTGAGGGTTATTTAAAAAAATTATACCATGGGAGCCAAGTGGAATAAAGTCAGTGGCGGAGCAAGGATGTTTTATCTGTGAGGGCACAATTTTTTTATTTTAAAAATACTCTCAAGCTTTTTCATTTGAGCTTGAAATTGACCTTATTGTTTTAATTTTTTTTTATTTTGGTTGTTAATTATAAGAAGATAAATTTTATGATAAAGAAAAAAATTATTGTCATGCTCATCTAAATTAATTTTAACACAAATTTATTTGGATTATATACTGTCATGCTCATCTATTTTAACTATTCTTCTACCGTACAAATTAATATAGTCTAATAAAAAATACTAAGAAAATTAATAGTGAACTTCACAATTAGAGAGAAAAAGATAAAGTGTAAAATAAATAAAAAAATATTTAAAATAGTCTCACCTCTCATGGGGGGGGGGGGGGAGAGAGATGGAAAGAGAAATGGTGGGAGGCAAGGAGTAGCGGGGGTAGAGGCCATGGGGAAAAGAAAAAAAAAAACAGTTGTGTGGAGACTGAAACAGGGAGGAATATAAAGGATTTTTTTTTTTTTTGAGGTGGGGGGCACGTGACCCCACAGGCCCCCTTAAATCCGCCCATGCCTGAAAGTCATCATACCCTTGGCGATTTAATGACGAGTGATGTAGGGATTAAGGCAACGTTGCAGACATGATAGCAAGGGACAAGAGCTTGAGCAAAGAGGTTTTGATCAATGTATTTGGCATGCAAGTAAGCATGGGAACAAGTGATTTTAGCAAGGCATATTAATTGATCACATCAAAGCAGGGGTGGTAGCAATAGGGGAGTAGCAACGAGGAAATGTGTTTCATGTAGAGATTATGCGGCATTCAAGTGAAGTAGACTAAGGCAAGAATCTACTTGCTCTTATGCCATATTTAAGGAACAATTCTTCAATGTATTATTGACTTGTATATTGGCATATATGTTAAATGCAAAGGAAAAGAATAAAGAGGAGAAGATCCTCAATTAAGAGGATATACAAATAAATCTTCTTAATAAAATATTTTCTTGTATTTGCTTCCAATCTAGAAATTTCCTTCCATAATATGGTCAGAAAAATGGATATTACTTGACATTTGCTTAAGATTTTTTTCCACTGGAATGTTTTAGCTATTACCAAGTGCATAGATCTATGGCGGCATGCGTTCTCTTATATGTTCTCTTATATGTTTGAGTGAACTCGCACTTCCCTTATGCAATGGCGGCTCTTGCACTCCTAGTTCTATTTCTAGTAGAAATTATGCTTCGTGGAGCCTATTATGTTAATTAATTTATTGGGTGCAAGATTAGTACACATGTATATATTTATATATATTTTTTGCAGAGTAAATCAATTACCGAGCCCAATTGTCCCGAAAATAACAATAGAGTATTGTATTCCTTAAAGTCCATTCTGAAATTCCTCTCTATGGGAAAATAAAATTATCATCTACTTGGGTGGTAATTTATTTAGGAAAAAAGCTCAAAATAGTCAAGCGGCCAACCAATTTAGTATCATAATATTACACTTCTCCAATTTAGCGCTTGATTATGCAAAATTGATTTTAAAATGGTCACTGAAGGACTAAGGCTTCGTTTGGGACAGCTTTCTTTCTACTTCTTAAAACATCTTTTTGATACAATATTTTTTATTTTTATGCTAGAAAGCTGCTTTAAGAAGCAGAAAGAAAGCTGTCCCAAACGAAACCTAAATTGGGATCAACTTTGCATAGTTGAGGGCATAAGTGGGGATCAATTTTATATCAGAATTTTCATGTCTACTTGCACTAACTTTAAACTTGCGCATTTGCCTTTGTTACTAACAGACCCCTTTGGAGTCAAAATCTGTCGATGTTGCCGTCTTCTGTCTTTCTCTCATGGGAATCAACTACCACAGTTACTTGAAAGAAGCAAATAGGGTCCTCAAGCCATGGTTTGCAGCATAACCTATATATGTTCCTATATATCCAAATAGCTTTTCACTTGATTCCAATTCAAGCAAAAGCTGGTCTAAGATTACTGTGATGTTTAGTATTGTTTTTATGACTATTTCTACAGCGGCTGGCTTTTGATAGCAGAAGTAAGAAGCAGGTTTGATCCAAACAATGGAGGTGCTGATCCAGATAAATTCTCTGAAGCTGTAAAGCAGCTTGGCTTCACATTGAGCTCCAAGGTTCATATTGCTGTTACAGTTTTCCGCTTCCTTTACTTACAGAGCTAAGCCACTGATACTTAACATATATACTCAGTTTTTTTTATCTAATTCATGCAGGACGTCACAAACAAGATGTTTGTTCTCTTTTACTTCAAGAAAAGGGTAAAAACTGGAGAATAATTCATATTTGTTCTGATTGTTTTTGGGTTCTCTGTAATGATTTTCTTCTACCATACTGCAGGAGGGGGCTGCATCGATGCATAAGGCAATTGATTGGCCAGAATTGAAACCATGCCTTTATAAGCGGCGTTGAGCAGTGAGGCTTAGGCTTCATTTGGGACAGTTTTTTTACTGCTTGTTAAAACAACTTCTTAGTATAAAAATTAAAATTCTTATATTAAAAAACTGCTTTAAAAACTAATAAGAAAGCTGTCTCAAATGATACTTAGTTTGGGCCGGCTTTCTTATTACTTCTTAAAATAACTTTTTAATTTGAATTAGAAAGTTATTTTAAGAAACAGTAAAAAGCCGTCCCAAACGAAGCTTGAAACAATTAAGCAATTTTTTGCGTATTACTTTAATTTTTATTTATAATAATGTAGTATAAATTTTGAAGGGCTCAACAAAATTATTATATATTATTAAGTAAATTATTGGATCAAGTTTCGAAGTACTAATTATTCAATTAATCACTAGTTGATTTGAACACTAAAGCGTTCTCTTAGAAGTCTAATCAAAGACGAGAGCACTAATTACTTGAAGGCTCTAATTCTGTTCATGTTTTATATCACTCATATTTGATATAAAAATGAACTATGGGTGGTATATATGTAATATTAAAGTTTTAAGTGTTAAATATGTAAATAGAGTAGTATACGATGGTATGTATGTAAATCTCCCTTTATTTTTTTGTTCGCTTTAATGGACTGTTTGTGTAAAAAAAAAAAAAGTTTTTTTTTTCGGTCACTTATTATTGTCATAGACCTTAAAATTCTTAACAATATGTAACTGACTTCTAAGTTTTAACTGAAAGCTCTATTCTAAATTCCAATTAATAATCTCAAGTTATAATTTTTAAAATTATAATTTAATTATTTTGCAAATTGCTCATAATTCTTTTTATTTCACAATTGTCTCATTTATTATGATAAATAGACTTTTAAGTGAATTAATGGAAAAATACTTCAAGTTGAGGCATAGGGTTTTTTTAAATAAAATTTGTATGCTTTTAAACCATATGCTTTCTTACTAAAGAACACCATATGTAATTTTCTCATAACAAAAGTGAATGGACTGTTATGAAAGCATGCATCTCTCGAAGAGAGATAAAGTCATGATATATATATATATTAGATATTATTATTAAGGCATTACAAATAACTACTTAAAAGAGCAATTATTATTCATTCAAGAGACACATTCACAGGAAGCTATTCACAAAAAAAAAAATACATGGAGAAGACTGAACAATAAACAAGAACGCTAGCAACGAAAACAATAACAATGAAATGTAAGAAAAAATCAACGGATGGAGGTGGCTGCTGCTCCGGCCCATTCCGTGAAGAAGATAGAGTTCTACCTCACAAAAAAGCCACCCTAACTTCAACCAACATAGATATGATAAGTTTTGTAATCTAAAAAGATTAGAAAGGAAAAAAAAATAGAGAAGGAAGAAGATGAACAGTAGACATGGAGATTGGAGCGGAATGGGGTTGGTCGTGGAGGCAGAAGCTTACTTCGCGCATGGGAGCGTTGGTGAGGAGATGTAGAAGAGATTCTGCTCGATAAGGAATCTCCTTCCTTCTCTTTGCCGTTCCATAGCTGAACGTGTTCGACGGAAGCAGAAGTAGTAGAGGAGCCTCCGTTCGCAAACCTCGCAGACGAAAAGCAGGATTTTTTACGGGCTTGTAATGGAGTGGTAGAATAGATGAAAAGTTAAATTTTAGGTGGTATATAAGTAAATATAAAAGTTTTGATGTTGAATATGTATTTATAATAGTTTTAAGTGTTATGTATGTAAAAATCCCTATTCATATATAAAAAAAAAACATTAGCTTTATTTGCATTTTATTCGTGAATAGTCAGCTAGAAGCCTACACCATCCTACATGAAACTCTCTCATAAAAAAATATACATATAAAATCTTCATGCAAAGCAAATCATCTCAAAATAATAAGAGATAATCTTGCACGGGTCCTTCCCCTTTCACATCCTCGTGATCCTCGCCCTAAACTCATGTACGCCGCATAGGACCCTATCAATCCCGAGGAGAGAGAAAAGAAGCACCACAAGAGAGAGAAAGAAGAGAGAGATAGAGAGACCACAAGCTCAGGCTGACTTCCCTCGGTCCTTCCTCTACATCCCGCCTCCATATCTGAGGAGCGTGCTTGTCTGTTAGAACAGCGAGGCCCGACAGCACCAGCTTTTCCCTTAAATATCCTCTCACTTCTCAGAAAACTCGTCATATATATTTCTATAATACCTCGCTATAAATTCTACCTTTCTCTCTCTCTATCTCTGCTCTAAAGCATGTAGAGGCATTAAAAGTACATAAAATCGCATGCAGTCAACATAATTCCCATCACTCTCAATTTCTCAATCACAATAAATTCATCCATCTCTATATTTATATTATAAGATTATGAAAATATAATGATTTTACATATAAATTTAACCGTCAGTGTCATAGGAGATATGGATGTTGGGCTACGTTTGGCAAAAGACTATCTTGGAACAGAGTGCAACACAAAACCATAAGAAAAACCATGGGAATTTGATCCATTTCTGCATCTCGCAATTGAGAAATTATTGTTCAGAAGTTATTTGATGGTTTCAATCTTTTGCGATTTGTGTATTGATTTGCAGTGAAAGTCTGAAAATGATGAAATCAGCAGCGGTGGTGGTGGTGGCGGCCACATCTGCGCTATTTTTACAATTTCCTGCAAGCTTGGTAGACCATTCGTTAATGGATATTCCAATTATATGTGTTGCAAAGTTGTAGTGATTTAATTTTTATGTTAAATTCATATACTACAACAACAACATCAAGCCTTTGTCCCATTACGTGAGGTCGATAGGTCATTTCTAATATTTTCAAACCAAGACTTTTTAGGTCTTCCTCTGCCTTTCTTAACATAAGTAAAATCTAATTCCTCAACTTTTTTAACCGGGTCATCAAGGCCTCCGTTTAATATGACCAATCCATCTAAGACGATTCTCTTTAATCTTATCTTCCAGTGAAACTACTCCAACCTTTTCACGTATATGGCTGCACCACTTAATTAACTTAGTTAAATTCATATATATGTATTATAAAAACTTACAAAGAACCGCTATGAAGATCTATACAATCCATGAGAAAAGAAGAAAATTTTATTGAGTTTTTTGTATGAAAAAAAAAATCAAAAAAAAAAAAAAACTTGTGCATCTTTCTTCTCTTTTGGAATTGAGCTCCATTAAAAGGACCTGCAACTTATTTTTAAGGAGCAAAGTCAAATAAATTCGGGATTTTTTGGCATTTAAAGTAGAAAGCTTGACTTAAATAAAATTAAAAAGATCTCACGAACAATTTCTTATTTAATTCCCCCTTAGAAATTCTAGGAGGAATAGTTCCATTCAGTTTTACCTAACATTCACGTGTGGATCCAACTTATGCTGAACAGTCCATTCAGTTTGCAAAGAGTATAAAAGAAACTTCAACGGTTTCCATTAAAATCAGAAACAAACTTAAATGAAACAAGGCCAAAAGATATCGCCCAAGAGAAACCTTACACGGTGCATGGAGAAGAAGAAGATGCTAAGAAACCCTAACAACGTACAGAAGCTATATATATCTATCTCTAAACCCAAAACAAACATCATTTAATATAAGCGCCGAGGACCCTATCAACGGCCTATATCAAGTCGCAGTGTGACTGATTCTTCCAGAGTGAAGCTTGCTTGGCAGCATTTCAAAAAACTCTGGATACTGTATGATATCCTCGAGCAAGCCTTCCGAAACAGTCGGAAAATTCTCGCCGAAACCGAACCCGAAACCGATACTATCCGGCCCCGGCATTTCTTCAAACGACATCGGCTCGGTTTCTTTCACGGCGACGTCAATGGAAACGTCGACGACGTTATTCTGACGCTTGGGGTAGAACCCATGTATCACTTCCTGGAGCAAGCCGGCGCCCGGAGGCTCCGGCGAGAAGAAGTCGCAGCAATCGTCGTAGAACATGGCAGGAGCACTGCCGGCGACGGCTGGTGAAGAAGTTTCGGTGGTTGCGGAAGATAGGACGTTAGAGGTGGAAGAAGGGGTTATGAGGTTGCGGAAGAGAAGAGAGGCGTTAGGAGGAAGTGGAGATGGCGTGGGGACGCTGACGTGGGGCCATGGAAAATCATGTGAGGTAAAAGGCGGCGGGGGCAGCGGCGGCGGCTGTTGTGGCGTGGTGGCGGCGTGGGGAGGAGGGTAGTGGAAGTTCGTGCGGGCTTTGAGGCCACGCATGGCACGTGCCGCAATATCGTAGGCCCACGCGGCTTGCTCAGCCGTGTCAAAGGTGCCTAGCCACCGGCGTTCTTTAGACTGGGGGTCCCTAATCTCTGCCGCATAGCGCCCCCACGGCCGGCGGCGAACGCCGCGGTAACGAGCGGCGTCTTTGGGTGGCGGTGTGGCTGACGTGGCTGCTGGGCGCTTAAAGTGGGTGCGGTTGTTTTGGTCTTCCATTGGGTTAGGGTTTTGGGTGGAAGAAGAAGAGAAAGCTATGATGTAATATTTATAGAGAAGGAGAAGTAGAGGTGGCTTTGATTCATGCATTCATGCAAATATAACGAGCCAGAATTTATAACGGCTAATTAATCTTTCTCTCTCTTTCTCTCTCTCTCTCTCTCTTAATTATCTCTATCTTGGTTCTCTCTCCAGCTGAAATGAATAGTAATTTCATTGGAAACCTACTACTATTTATTTCTCATCATGTTAAAGAATATAACAGTTGGAGCTTAGCCATCATATTCGCAGGGCATCCATTATTTATTCATAAATGCAGATTACTTTTCGAAATCCCCTTATTTTAACGTTTCACTAATTAATACTGTGATTATCTATATATAATATTATATAAATAAGAGTAAATTAAATAAGGACTTTGTAACCGATTTTTGAATATTAACACGTAGGCCCCAAGAGTGAGTTTTATCCAAAAAAAAAAAAAAGGGTAAATTAGTAAAAATGAATGCTTATTTAAATGTATGCAAGGTATTCTCCTTTTGGTCCTTAAATGTTTTTGGCTGTTTTCCTTAGTTTTTATGCAGGATGGCTGATCTTAATGTCTTCTTATGAGCTTCCTTTTTTGGGTTCTGTTGATCTAGTTTATTATTAATTTCTTTTTGTAATTGTAGAAAAAGGTCCACCGGCTCTTAGGTTTTAATTTTTTTTTTTTTTACTTGTAGCTCTTTCGAGCATTAGTGAACTGGAGGATCCTTCTAAGGACCTTGTAACCGATTTTTGAATATTAACACGTAGGCCCCAGGAGTGGGTTTTATCCAAAAAAAAAAGGGTAAATTAGTAAAAATGAATGCTTATTCTACTAAATCATAAAAATTAAGGTGGGCGGATGATCCACTTCACTAAATAAATATATATTTTCATGAATTAATTTTGAGAAAAAAAAAACCGCTGAAATTATATATGCCTCAATTCTTTTTGCACGCTATAAAAAAAATGCTAATTCAGCCCCTGTATGTAGAAATTTATAAATAAGTTTGCATAATGTGTCAATTTTATAATTTAATTGCAAATCTATTTTTGGAAATTACTAAATGAATTGCAAACTGAAAATAACAAAATAATTATGAGGATTGGTGTTTTTTTACGAAAAATTCTCAATAATTGATTTTTTATCAAGAAAAATATTTTAAAATAATAATGAGGTTGTTTTTTGTAGGGCTATGATTACTCAAGAGACGATTTCAGCCTTCAGCCCTAAATAAATTTAGCGTACTAATGACACTATCATTTTATTATTTGAATAACGCCCTCCATAAAGGAGCCGTCATATAAATTTTTATTTTTTAAAGTCTAAAATGTGACACAATTTTTATATGTAACGAATTTATATATAAATAAAATTAATTTCAAAATTTATGATGTAAATTGGATATTAATATACCTATATCTCGGGTTTGATCAAAATTCAAGATCCGTTTGAGATTGCTGCAATACTTTGTATAAATTGCTCTGAAGTTATTTTGGAAAAAATAAATCTTTTTAAAAGTTGTTATGAATATTATAAATATTTTTTTTATTTTTAAATAGAACAGCTATTTTTTTTTTAAATTATAAAAAATTACTTCTCGTCACAAAAATTTATAAAAGGAAATAAAAATTTACTAGTCAAACATAACTATAGTTATTGCCTTAAGAACAAAGCACTGGGAAAACAATCTCAATTAGATCCTCAATTTCCCAACATTTTCAAAAATTAATATTTTTTTATATTTTTAGTGCTACTATTTCATCAATTTCGAAAATTTACTGTGAATGCACTTCAATTAATATACAAGAATAATGAAGCATACGGATCCCACCTTCACATTAAAAAGTTGCCCACATTAGTTAGTAGACAACTTTATATAATCCATGGCTTCACATTTCCAATCAAATGATAGATCATTACTCCTCTTTCCTTCAAAATCTCTTGCTATTTGACCTCCTTGAATTTAATTTCTAAGGAAAAACGTCAAAATCTTTAGATCATCGCAATTAAAAATTTTATGGAGCTGTTTTGTTCAATCATAATTATATGATTTTGTTGTTGATGGCGTTTTCATTTCCTTAAAAGCGTCAAATCAGAAGCTTATGCTGATAATCATCAACTCAATGTGTTGAACGCTACCTTTGATGCTTTTCAAATAAAGCTGTTGAGTAGATGGAAAAGATAAGTAATGAGAGTTCTGATAATCATTTATGAACTACTTTATAAAGGTCAACCACAGTGTTCATCAATGGAAGGAATTCATATATTTTCTATTTTGTTAGAAATGGTTTGTTTACAAAAGGAGAAAGTGATTGACAGTAGTAAATTGAAGGATGGAGAGTGGATAAGATGAAAGAGCAATTAAGAGATCAGATTAATATTTAGCTTGAAATGGTAATTAATCTAGCTGAACCAGTTGAGCTACGAGCTAAAGTTTAGAGCCAGTTTGATCTTCAAGGCAATTTTGATACAGACCTGTCTTGGAATAAGCTGGAAACATACTGTTATATACATTTTCAATATTTAGATAAATTTGTGAAAAAAAAATATTTTTTTTTCTACTAAAGCTCTACACCATAAATATATGAAACATAACTTTATATATATATATATATATATATATATATATTGCTGCTAGAAAATTATGCTGATTGCATTAACGATTTTTTATTTTTTATGAAGAATCCTTGAAAAATATCGTTTGAGCAATCAGGATGTGTGATGTTGAAGGTGTTGATGCAAGTCAACACGAGCTTATGAAAGAAAAATGAAAAAAATAAATAAAAAAATCAATATTTATTGCCCTTCCTTTATAATTTGATAAAATATCTTCAAATTCAGTGGGAGTCTATATATTTTCATTGCCATCTTTATTATAAAATTTTCTAGAATATGTTGGGATAGTTTGTTACTTTCTCATGCACCAAATTAACAAACACTCTTATATATAATACATTCTATTATTAAGAATATGAAAAGGTTAAGGATACTTTTCTTACTAATTCTTAAAGCAGCTTTATAGTATTAAAATTTTAATTTTATGTTAAAAATTTACTTTAAGAAGCAGTAAGAAAGTCGTTCCAAATGAAATCTTAGGCTTTGTTTGGGATGGCTTTTTTACCGCTTCTTAAAACAGCTTTTTAGTATAAAAATAAAATTTTTGTACTAAAAAATTATTTTAAAAAATAGTGAGATAGTCGTCTCAAACAAAGTCTTAAAGTAAATATTTCTATCTTGAATATTTGGTTTATAAAAATTGATACAAAAGTTTGTTGATTTCCATAGTGCAACAAGATTTACAAGCACTTGTTCATTGAAATTGAAAAGCCTACCCATGAATGCAAATGTTGTAGAAGCATGATCTGATTGATGTTGGTGTGACATATCAAGAGGTATAGTTGTTGTGAAACTCTAGCTATTGATGGTTGTCATTTAATTTAAGTCTTGTAAGAAACAACTGTAACATATTTATGTAGGCCTTTAGTATATATAGTTGAGATGTAAAAGTGGTTGTAGCTAGTCAACAATATTATGATGATGGATGTTGCAAAAGTTATGTTTTGATGCAGGCGTCATTAGATATGAGAGATATTACAGGATGAATCTTACGGTGTGTATGCTAAGAAAATGAAGTTATGATGGATTATGATGCATTATGTACGTACATATGTATAGGAAGGTTTGCTGATATTGGTTAACGAATCTAGTTTAGATTCAACATGAAATTTTAATTAGTTTGTGTAAAATATAATTATATTGATCAATTGGGTTGTATTGTTGCCACAAATCTCAACTTAGTTTTTTCGTGCTAGCTTGGGGGGTGTGGGAGTCCTCCCCCTGCTTGGGTTTGGGACCCAAAAAATTTTTACCTTACAATATGTCGGCGCTATGTACCCGAGTGCCCCGACACTGTATAGTTAACTTAGAGAAAAGATAGAGAATATAATGCTGCAGAGCTCAAGATATGTCATTACAATGCTAACATGCAGACTGGAAATGAAGAGTTAAGTGTCGCGGCTTGCCAAACTAGAACTGTTGTGTGCTACGAGGCCACCTAGACTGTTTTTCTTAAGGGTGATGTCCTTTAATGGTATATATTGTATCCCTTTTTGTTTTTTCTTGTATAATAATGGTGTAAGTGAGAAGAGGAGCAAGAAGAAAGCAAGAGAGAAGATAGATATATGTACAAATTTTTCTTAATTATTATTGTGGATTTCTTGGCGTGATATGGCTTTGTGATTTTTTGCAGGTTTCATATTTTTCCATCTTAAATCCAGGTGTTGTTTATTTTTCCAGTACATTTCCACTTTCTTATTTATTTCATTGCGTGGTTTCCTTCCACTCCCCAACATGACAACAACAAGATCATCATGATCACAAGCCTTTGTCCCACAACGTGGGGTTGGCTGCATGAATCGTTTTTCTTCATTATTTCTTGTTAAAAGTCAAATTCTCGTTTAAATCTAATCAATAAAAATCATTTCTAATATTTTCTAACCTAGTCCGTTTAGGTCTACCTCTATCTTCATTAATATAAGTCAAATCTAATACCTCAATTTTCCTAACTGGGTCATTAGAAGTCCTCCGTTTTATGCAAAAAAAAAAAAAAAACTACCTTGAAAGTTACTCTTTTATTAAAACTGTCAAAAATCTCAACTCAAACTCAGTTTAATAAACTTAAACTTCAATTACATAGAGTTGTCTGATGGTCATTAGAAGGCCTTTGTGCAACTTAATGAGTTTTCTGCTGGTTTTCTGCAATGCCTCTCTAGAATTCCTATTCATTCGGGTGTTAACGACAACATTATGTGGGGTTCTGGGAAGGGGAATGAACACAACTCTTACATCAATTCTTTTACAGCGTCATTAGAGATGAGAGATATTCCTTAATTGGTATTAATATGTATGGCACAAGCGTTTCTCTTTGAGATTTTTTGTTTTTTATTGAATGGCGCGGCTATTATTGGAGGCC